GCGACCCTACTTCTTGTCATGTACAACCGGGGAATCGAAACCACGCCAGTTGTCTCAATAACAGACCTTACGATACAGCGCGCACGTGCTAACCATTTGCCCCCCCCCCCTCATCGGAGAACAAATCAAGACATTAGTGTCTATACCCATGTTGTCAATATCACGCCCGTTTCTGTGGTTCAAATAGTTATAATTAATATAAAGCGTTTGACATTAAAACAAAATATCGAACCAGAATTGAGTAAAGTAAGGTCGTAAGTGAAATTTTGAGCAGAAAACACCTGAAAACCGGTGTGTGATATTTGCATGTTAAACTGTTAGAGGAGTTATGGTTAAGTTTCAAAAAGCTAAAAAAAATATTAAAACATCATTTAGTGATGTTATTTTTAAACCTTTAAATGCGATTATCTCGAAATGAAATAATTGTCACTTACGACCTTATCTTACTCAAGGGACGATTTGACATTAAAACAAAATATCGGATCAGAATATATCTAAATGTCACGCACAATTAAACGGTGGTTAATGATAATTAATGCTTTGCAACGGATGCAATTGTTACGTAATTTCACTTACTAGAAGAGATATGTGTTTATCGTCAGTATGAAGGTAGGTCTCAACCATTTTCAATAATTTACAAATGTTTCCGCTTACCATATTGGGGCCACGGTGGCTAAGTGGGTAAGACACTGGTTCACTAGCCTGGAAGTCGGGTGTTCGCTCCCTGCATTGGCCGAGAAAGTTCATCCAGATTTTCCGGTGTGGTTCCCACTTGTCAGTGGTGCAGGACGGAGGGCCTGACAAGGACAGGTGTGTAGTTATTCCGATAGGACGAAAAACAAAGGTCCCGTTTATACAAGATCACATGGCAGTTGGACTTTGATATAAGAGTAGGTTATACTCCGCTGCCTGGGCAAAATTTCCCTCATAGCACACAGTATGGCGTATGCCCGTCTTCGTTAGCCCAGTCGGAGCAGAACAGTAGGAAGTTAAACTCCATTTCATTTTATTTAAATAATTCATATATGACATTAACTCTAAACATCGGATCAGATCAATTTAAATATTACATCCCGATATTGCATTTTGTTAGCAAAACGTAATATTCTGTTGCAAACGGTGGTTATTAAATTAGCACATTAATATTTTATGGTATAATGAATTCGTAAAAACCATGTTATTCCAACAGATACATTTGTTTTGTAACTGCAATTACTAAAGGAAGGATGTCCATATGTCCAATATAAACATGATGAAGGTAGGTTTCATTTCTCACCAGTAAAAATATTATTGTTTTATTTCACTATGTTCATATTGTAAGTACTCTTTGGTCAATCCACGGGTACATAATATGCGATAGACATAAAACTACTTATGACAAAAAAGTACTGTTGGTTATGGTGATAGGTATTTCATTGTTAAAGGGACAATAACACTCTTGCTGGCTTGACTACTCCAGAAAATAAAAAATAGCCTTATTCTTAGTACTAGATGTGTTCGTGTCCTACCTGTTGTGTAAATTAACCATTAAATCATATTTTACTTGTCTAAAAGGTTCAAAAATATTTTTAAATCCAAGTCACATTTGAAAAGCTTTACGCCAGGCTTTTCAAATCATTTAGTTGAATTTTTCGAATTTTTTAAATTAGGTGCGTTAAGATGAAATTTGTATCATCAATTAATTGGAATATTGTAAAATAGTACAATTTGTTGACCAGAATAAAGATTGGGACATATTCAGTTACAACAAGAGTGGTATTGGGTCTTTAACTAATAACCTTTATTGTGTTAACTAATAGATGTAGTAATCTTTTGTACCTCCAATCAGAGTAAGTAAATACAAGCACTGATGGGCGTACGGGGGCTACACCTATTCTCCTCTGGTTTCCTTTTAGCAGGTTTCCTTTCATTATTTTGTTAATTGTTTTTTTTTTCGGTACATTTTGTTTCATTTTGGAAGATTGTGTTTTGTTGTCTTTTGTTCGTTTCGCACGCCACGAATACTCGATCGTCCCTGTAAAACGTTATTTATTCAAGACGCATTTTAACTTCAGTTTTCTTGAAGAAAATCCCTATCTGGCAAGTAAACATTTGTACTGGATCTTAAAACAGCAATTAGCACGTGGTAGGTTGGTACAAGAACTTTTGATTGATGTGATGTGACCCAACTTAACTTTAGATTGTTCGCAATATCTGTGACAACTTTATCCAGTTATCCCTGATAAATAAACGCTTTTAATTTCAATATACGGGTACACATAATTTAAGGGGTTTGGGCTAAATATCTCACTCTAAACTAGCCGAGCGTTCGGATTTTAAGGAAGATGGGGGGGGGGGGGGCTAGGCTTATTTGAAATATAATATTATATAAATTTAATTCCATCTATTTTCTTGGAGACAGCGATAGCTTTATCTGATAATTATTCCAAATATTAATCTTATTTTTTGTCCCCCGCCTTTCGAAGAAAGCAGTGGACTATTAAAATGGGTTCGCCCGTCTGTCCGTCCGTCTGTCTGTCCGTCCGTCACACTTTTTGGGACACAATAACTCTCTTTCTAATTGAGCTAGAAGGTTCAAACTTGGTGTAGGTGTTTATTAGGCCAATACCTTGATAGGGGTCCGAAGATGAGCATTTTCCGCTTAGGATAAGCGGAGATAAGCAATTTGATTGGTTGATGATTTGGGACACGATGACTTTAGTTCTAATTAAGTGAGAGTAATGAAACTTGGTGTATAGTTTCATTACATCAATACCATGAGCATTTTCTGCTCAGGGTAAGCAGAGCGATAAGCAATTTGATTGACCAAGATTTTGGAACACAATAACTCTCCTAATTGAGCTAGAATGTTCCAACTTTGGTGTAGATGTTTATTAGGTGAATCCCTTGATGGAGCTCGAAGATGGGCATTTTCTGCTTAGGGTAAGCAGAGATAATCAATTTGATTGGTTGTTGCTTTTGGATGAGATAACTTTAGTTCTTATTAAGTGAGAGTGAGGACACTTGGTGTATGGCTTTATTACATCAGTACCTTGACTAAGTTCGATAATGAACATTTTCTGCTGAAAGTAAGCAGAGTGATAAGCAATTTGATTGGTCGAGATTTTGGAACACAATAACTCTCCTTCTAATTGAGGTAGAATGTTCAAACTTGGTGTAGGCATTCATTCGGTGAATCCCTTGATGGAGTTCGATGATGAACATTGTCTGCTTACGGTAGGCAGAGATAAGCAATCTGATTGGTTGATGCTTTAAGGGCACGATAACTTTGGTTATAATGAAGTGAGAGCGATGAAACTCTGAATATAGATTCATTATATATCATTACCTTGACTAAGTGCGAATTTTCTGACTGGGCTAAGGAGCGATAAGCAATTTGATTTGTCAAGACTTTGGAACATAAAAATTCTGTTTTTAATTGAGGTAGACTGTTTAAACCTGATGTAGATATTCATTAGGTGAATGTCTTGACTGATTTCAATGATTAATATTTCAAGCTAAAGCTAAGCAGAGCTAATCAATTTCATTGCTTTGGGACAAGACAATCTTGATTCTATCTGATAGAGAGTGTTGAAACTTAGTGTGTATATAGTTAGATTGCTCTAACCTGTAAATATGTTATCCAGTATTAAAATATATTTTTAATCAATAAGAGTTATGTATTGTATCACACGGTTTCCTACCACTGCTAAAGCCCCCTATTATTGAACCATATGTTAGTCCCGAAATGCCCTGATTTGTGTCGAGTGGACGTTAAACCCCATCCCCCTCTCTCTCTCTCTCGTAGTTATCAAAATATATCTAGCTGTCCATATTAGGAAATAACCCCAGCTAAGTTGCAAGAAAATGTGGATGCCCATCTCTATATAAAGAAATCTCGGTTGGTCATGCCCAGCCGCTCCAAAAAAGGTATGGATGTCATGCATATTTCTGGCACCATATAACGAATTGAATAATTAATAAGTCACGCATCCTCGCAATCAGGAGTATGAAAGAGATCGATGAGCGGGCATTGGGGTGGCCTAGAGTGTCGCGCTCAGATGTCTAGCCTGTCGGTCACCTCTGGCTTAATGTTGTAGTTTGATGTGCCTTTGAGATAGGTACACCTTCTCAACTTGGTTAATTTACTCCGGGTACCCCGGTTTCCTCCCACAGGAAAGACCCCCAGCACATGTGCTAAGATAATAAAAATAAGACAATTTGCGATATCACACTCGGTGGAAGCGGAAGTTAAACACTAATAGAAAAAGGAGGGAGTTTAATCAGAAACCATTAGTAGATTAAATTAAAGTTTATTACATTAAAGTTTGTTACAATTAACAACACTATATCTAGACAATATATAATATATAGGCAATACATAATAGACAATATATACTTACAAGTAATGGAATTGACAAAAGGAGAAAGATAAAGATTATATATATTATTTTGGTGATAATACTCACAATTGCTGTTACTAGTTTGGATCACCTGTCCATACCTGTTTTGTTAATTATACATATATATTTCACTCGTGATATATCGCATACCAGGTCTACTAGTTTTATATTACAAGTATATTACTAAAACATGCCCCTAAAGGATAATAATTAAACGTAATTAAATTGATAAAATTCAAAAAGTTATATATAAATATAATAAAGATATTACAAATTATTTTTAAATGTCAAACGTTATGGATTATTTATTAAACATGGTTATAAAGTTATATTGCTAAACAAACACTTGTATTTATTAGAAACAAGCTATATAAATTTTATTTTATGATCAGTAGTGGAATACCGCGTTTTATCAGTGAAATAAAAGTGTTATTCCACTGGCTAGCAGTAGTCCATGTTGTTTTTACCTAAAATGATTGTAAAATCATAAAATAAACAGAACATTTGTCGTTTTGTCGTGAATAACATATTTTATTTCATCTTTTCTTGCTTCTCGATGAAATAAAATATGTTATTCACTCTAAAACGACAAATATCCTCTATATAATAATTGCAGTGATCTATACTGGAGCTTATAGACGATCGTTTATACCAACATTATTGGAGAATACAGAAACAAACTACTACTAAAGTACAAATGTACAAATGTCACTCGCGTTTTCCCATGATTAAGTCATCTAGCTATTGTGTTGGGTGTTTGAAGTCCTATACATATGATCATGTATATCTAAGTTATTGTTCTGTCTACCAACATGTAGCTGCTATGCAAGTATGTCAGAACTTTAATTATGTCAACGATGGATGAAAACCCTGACTATACTACAAGCCGGATCTACACTGACTTAAGTTGGCTAGATTTTGTCTCTTGTTCACTTCTGACAGATTCTGCTTCACCAAATAGTTTTCGCTTCCATTTAGAAAGCACAGATTTCTTTAATATAAAGGACCACAGAATGAAGACTCCCTGAGATGCATTAAAGATTACAGACAGATATTCTAAAGCCCAACTGATGATAAAATTTGATAAAATAGCTAGCAACCAAAACAGACCGGTCAGAACAGAAAGCTTTATATAAATTACAATATTGTTTCGTTCCCCAGATTGTTTTCCCTGTTGTTTTACGCGAGAGATGGAGATAATTGTCCACAAAAAGAAAACAATATTTAGTATAATGACGAGACATAAGGGTAAAACAAAACAATAGCCAACAAGTTGTTTAGAAGATAGATAACACACATTACCCCCATAACCTATCTCCATTCCCCCTGACAACTTGACATTTGTAATAACTATACAAACTATCAGTATCATTGGTAACCCATTGGCATAAGCAGTGTACTTCAGTGTATGAATACCGTGAGACGGGGCAGAATTTCTTACCAGTTTCTGTAAAACAAATACCTTGAACATGTGAAAGGTACACACATTCATCCATAGTGCCATACCGAGCCAGAGGTAATGGGTAATTATTCCAGTACTTCTACACAATATTTTATCTTGTGTCTGATCCAGGCCAGTAATTAAAATTAACTGAGCAAGAAAAAGATTAAGCATTAACCCTATGTTGTTGATGCCTGGCTGTGTTCTCATTTCTGGGAACATACCATATGTTATTAAAGCAATACATATAGATATCAAAGACAGAGTGATCAAAACAATGCTTAAATACCAGAGAATCCAATCAAACTTTGTGTGGGTGTCATAGTACTGTACGGTTTCGTTACTGTGAGTAAAGTTTTTTTTATTGAGAAATGTTTGAAAACATACCCTAAGGTAATGCTGAAACACAGAAAACTCGTCATTAGATAAGGTAAGATTGAGATGTTCAACAGATGCCAATGCATTATCGGCATCAAACTCTTTGTTTTAAAATTCAATAAATGAACATGACATCTGGTAGCTTATTGGTTCATAGCTGTATTTAGCGGCCATTACTTCTCCGACCTCTGAAACCGGCTTTTCGGAACAACACAACTTCGTGGTTATGTTGGAGACAAAATGTCGCATAATAGGCTGCGAGTGAGATACGTATGTATAATTTATTTCACGAACAAGTACTAAAGCTGAAGCCCGGGAGATTCTACCACCACTCCTGGAGACAACAGTTTCAAAGTCCTTTAATGTGATGTTGCTATTCACGACAAACCAAACATTCATATAAACATAGGAAGATCCCCCGATCAGCACTGGTTTGGACGTAGTGACTGTATAATCAGTAGAGTATATCATTAACGATACTGATGTCATCATGTTTCCTAACATTTGTTTAAAGAATGCAATGTGAGCTGTGGTTGGTATCTTTAAATTAATCATCATTTGATAGGTATTACCCAATGCTCTCATATTATCATACTCACAATATCCACCTCGTAGTACCTTATTGGAGTAACACTGAATGGGTCGACATTTGTTCTAAAAATACAAAAAATAGAACACTAAATGTATATGCAGTTAATTAGTAATTTGTGGTAAATCGTACTTCGACCAGCAAAACAATAGTAAATATTGTACGTAAAGTTCTAAAAAGTGATCACAAATCAAGTTAATCATAAGTGTATTGCTTTCTGTCTTAAATTGACCATGAATTTAACCAGCACCTCAATGACGATTGAATTAATTTTAAAGGTATTGTGGCACAATTGGTACCCACAGGAATCTCTAAATAAACCACATTATTAGTCGAAACAGAGTCGGGGTTAATCTTGACCCTTTGTATAAAACTTATAGGCACTCAATGCTTTTTTTATATGAATTAATTTCAAGTCGCCATCTTTTTGAATTTGTAATAATTTTGAATCGCGACATATAGGTTACCAGATGTCAATCATTCTTATCATTTGATTGGATGCGACATTGTCGTGGTTAACTCGCATGTCAAATGAAATGGGGTTTAACGTCCTACTGTTCTGCTCCTGACCTGGGCTAATGAAGACGGGCATACGCCATACAGTGTGCTATGAGGGAAATTTTGCCCGGGCAGCGGTACTATCGCCTACTCTTATATCGAATTCCAACTGCCAAGGGATCTTTTACGTGCATTCCAATGTATGCACGTGACCTCGGTTTTTCGTCTCATCCGAAGGACTAGACAGCTGTTCTTGCCAGGCCCTTCGTCCTGCATCACTGACAATTGGAAACCACGCCGGAAAATCGGGATGAACTTTCTCGGCCAATGCAGGGATCGAACACCCAACCTCCATCCTAGCGAGCCAGCGTCCTACCCACTTAGCCACGTGATCCCCTCGCATGTCAAACTATCAATGCATTATAAGACCATATAGTGTAAGGTCTATACCAGAGGTTGAATTCAAAATGACATAGCTGTGATTATGAAGGTGTTAAGTGACTTAACACAGCCATAATCTTGCATCTGAAATGCCTAGATATATAAAATATCCACGTATTTAATCAAATTTCATGGCTCAGAACATATGTGGGTGTATGGGCCCCAAAACCCACGCATCTGACTGGATACTTGAGACACGGTACATTGTAATATTACAGGGGCGGATCCAGGAATTTTTGCAGGAGGGTGTTTGCTAGGTTCCTGAGACAATGTATCCCCACCCAGCGCATGGTCTCTATCGCCATTTTGGCGTATAAACATACACATTGAGCTTTTTAAACAGAGAAATTCAACACCTCGTTTGACGTCAATTTTTATTATGAATTAATACAATGACATTGTGATTCAATATCATGGATGCAAAGATTTAATGTGATACCACATAATGTCTATTTCATTATCTCGTGCTTTGAGTGCCATCCTGTCCCACATATGGCGACAAAGGATTAAGCACACGACCGATAAACATTTCTCATAAAAAGTGTTGATTTACAAAAAAAAATTATGTAGCTGAGCGGGGGGGGGGGGGGGCGTCGAACCCCACTGGACCCGCCCCTGTATTATTCTATTAATATACTTACCGCCTGAATATCCATCCACGAAATCCTGCCGTCGCATGATTTCACCGATTTGGCAAACAGATCTGTGAAGTCAACTAGAGTTTTCACAGAGTACAATGGTTTGCCTAGAGCCCCTGACGGTATATAACCGTTGCACATGGCGCAATAAATGTTCCTGTAAACTTTCTTGTTTTTTAAGTTCTGGACGAGAACAAAGTATTTGGCACAACTGTCATAATATCTATGGTATTTTCCTGGGAAGTCCGGATCGCATTGAGAAATTATTGGTTCCGATCTCCGAATATCACAATATCTCAACTCTGCAAATTGTGGCGGAACAATGTAATCCTCGCAGACAGCAAACCTGTTCATATTGTATTTACATTTGCCTCGAATTTGCCAATTTGAACATGAAGTTTCTTTGTTAAGAAATGCACATTGGTTGTTGATGTATGTTTTGCCAGTTTTGGGACAAGAAACAGGTAGAACCGTACGGTCACATTTTTCTAAATACCCATCTTGGCGTTTATAGTTAGCAACCATATAGAAGCCATCACCATGTGATAAGTGATCAAATTGGAATTTTGAATCGCTGTAGGTTGCGATGCACGTGAAATCCGACTGTATTTCCTGTGTGTGAAGACCGTTATTTACCTTTACATCAACACAACAGTCTCCGTAAAACAAACATTCCTGATCACACATACAACGAAGACATTCCAGTCCCCCGATTATGTTACCATCATTTTCAAGACAATGTGGACACCAGAAGAGAGGGTGCACCTCGGCAGGAGAAATGATTCGTGGCAAGGTAACAAATACAATATAAACTAAGATTTGCACAGCTTTCTGAAATTAAAAATAAAAAAAATCAGATAAAGTAGATTTCAACGCTTCAAGAGGAACTGTCGCTGTCACCAAGAAAATAAATGGAATTAATTTTAAATAATATTATTTTTCAAATAAGCCTAGACCCTCCATCTTACTTAAAATCCGAACGCTCGGCTAGTTAAGGGTGGGGTATTTTAGCCCAAACCTTTTAAAAAATGTGTACTCGTATATTGCAATTAAAAGCGTTTATATATCAGGGATGACTGGATAAAGTTGTCACAGATATTGCGTACAATCTAATGTTAAGCTGAGTCACATCACATCAATCAAAAGTTCTTTTACCAACCTACCAAGCGCTAATTGCTGTTTTAAGATAGGGATTTTCTTCAAGAAAACTGAAGCTAAAATACGTCTTGAATAAATAACGTTGTACATGGACGATCGAGTCCCCGTGTCGTGCGAAACGAACCCAAAACATCTAAACACAATCTTCCGAAATGAAACCAAATATACCGAAACAAAACGAATTAACAAAATGATGAAACGAAACCTTCTAAAAGGAAATCAGGGGAGAACGGTCTTATTCCCCTGTACGTCCATCAGTGCTTGTATTTACTTACTCTGATTGGAGGTACAATTATATTGTTACTGATGAGAAATGAAACCCACCTTCATGATTTTTATATTGGACCTATGAACATCCTTCCTTTAGTAATCGCAGTTACAAAACAAATGTATCTGTTGGAATAATATGGTTTTGTCGGAATTCATTCCACCATAAAATATTAATGAACTTGTATGAATATTAATAACCCCTGTTTGCAACGGAATATTATTTTTTGCCCACAAAAGGCAATAGAGGTATGTGATATTTAGATTGATCTGTTCCGATGTTTAGAGTTAATGTCATATATGAATTAGGTAAATGAAATGAAATAAGAGTTTAAGTTCCTACTGTCCTGCTCCGACAGGGCTAATGAAGACGGGCATACGCCATACTGTGTGCTATGAGGGAATTTTTTTGCCCGGGCAGCGGTACTACCGCCTACTCTTATATCGAATTCCAACTGCCATGGGATCTTTTACGTACACGCCAATGTATAGACGGGACCATTGTTGTTCGTTCTATCCGAACGGCAAGACAGCTGTCCGTGTCCGGCCCTCCGTCCTTCATCTGGATGAACTTTCTCGGCCAATGCAGGCTCCGAACACCCGACCTCCAGGCTAGTGAGCCAGCGTCTTACCCACTTACCCAACGTGGCCCCAATATGGTAAGCGGAAACATTTGTAAATTATTGAAAATGGTTGAGACCTACCTTCATACTGAAATTATAAACATATCTCTTCTAGTAAGTGAAATTACGTAACAATTGCATTTGTTGCAAAGCATTAATGAACATTAACCACAGTTTAATTGTGCGTGACATTTAGATATATTCTGATCCGATATTTTGTTTTAATGTCAAATCGTCCCTTGAGTAAGACAAGGTCGTAAGTGACAATTATTTCATTTCGAGATAATCGCATTTAAAGGTTTCAAAATAACATCACTAAATGATGTTTTAATATTTTTTTTAGCTTTTTGAAACTTAACCATAACTCCTCTAACAGTTTAACATGCAAATATCACACACCGGTTTTCAGGTGTTTTCTGCTCAAAATTTCACTTACGACCTTACTTTACTCAATACTTGTAGAAAATGAAACTAGTTAGGAACACTTACGACCTTTTATTATTGAACAATAGGCCTACATCGAGTAGATTACAACATTAGTTTATTAACAGAAAAATGTTAACAAACAAATTTCACATATATTTCAAACGTTTTAACAGATAACCATAAAGGTAATAACATTTAATAACTATTCAAATTCGGAATCAGCTGGGCCAGTTTCGTCTGCATCGGGTTGAGTCAGGGCATCAACTATCTTGCCATCAAAATTGAGCTTCTCGTAAAAAGAATGGGAATCTCGGAGTATTGCTAAGGAGGTGCATAGGAACCTCAAATCATCATACGTTGCCTTTGAGATACGAGGTGCCTCTTGAAACAAGGGTTTTAAAGTAATATCTGAATCTATCCGTACACATTGGTTTACTCGCATAGCTTTAAATTCAGCATCATAATCATACTTGAAGTAAACGGTGTCTGGGGATGATTTTAAATATCGCATCCACTTCAACTTTAACCACTGAATTGTATTTCCGTCCACATCTTTGCTTCGATTTCGGATAATGTGTCTACTATATGTTGTAATCGGTTATGTCCTTGGTAGACAGGAGCCTTACTTCAAATGGATTTTCACGTCTTGCCATGGCTACGATACGATAGTAATCTAAAGGGCTGTAAACATCCTGTTTTCTAAAAGCATACTCTATGGTCGCGTGTGATGAGTCGCACTCCATTTGACTGTGACCGGACTCCATATACAGATGATCAATGCAATCTATGTTTAAGTCCTTAATAACATGTAAGCACATGGCTGTAAAAAACTGATTCCGGTTCTGACCGGAGCATGTATCTGAGTACAAAATTACACGCTTAACCTCTATTGGTAATTGATTGAAGTAACTGCTGATACTGCTTGAAATCTCACAACTTCCACGTCCGGCAACACCTTCGTGCCACGTGTAACAGGTCACATCATGGCTGGCGAGATCATAAACAGTCAAATTATATGTGGACAGTTTACGACGGTAAAATAAAGATGAAACATTCAATTCAGGACTAAGCAATACCTGCCCTAAATCAAAAGTTACTGCACGTATACTTTTATCTAGAGCTTTTTGTTCTGCTTTTAATTGTCTAACTCGAGTTTTGCGAGTGGTGGTTGTCGTAGCCATCCTGTTTTTCAAGTTGCTCTTCCTCAGACGAATTATTATAGGAAAAGCAAAAATTACATACATCTTTCTTAGGTTTATGGAATGATAAGTTAAACTCTGTATCGAACACATCCCTGTAATACTTTAGTTTAACTTGTTTTGGTTGATTATTTGCATGTTCTTCTTGGTAGAGTTCATGCATTTTACGAACAGTTGAACTTTTCTCAAGATATTTACTGCTTGTCTTGTTTCTCACATAATGCGATTCCATATGAGGAAACGAAGAAATATGCATCTTGACTGAGTTTCTTATTTCATCATTTTTCTTTATTCCTGGAGCTTGCTTCCCGCGGTTTTCAGTACAAGCTTGACCTGTCTCATCTCTGTGTTGGAGTGTGTATGTTGCGTTTTTTCCCCCAATTCCAAGTGTTTTCAAAAATACTGCCTTACAAACTTTGACTTTTGAATTACCAACTGTTACAAAATACTGAAGCGTTTGTTTTCGTTTACTTCCACGGTTTGAATTTCTTTTAGTCGGCTTGCTTCTAACATGATTTGCGATGTAGTCACGCTGTCTCTGCCTATTTTCCAGTAATTCATAAAGACGATATCACGCTGAGCATCTGGAAAATGTTCATTGCATCGGTTGACGCATCTGCCACAACGATGATATTTTCTTGTTCTTTTTTCGACCTTTTTGTTCTCTCTTGTTAGGTATTCTTAGCCGCAATTTAGAGCTTTCTTTCTTGTATTTTGTTGCCAATTGTCTTTATTTCTTGTTCTTTTTTGTCCTCTTTCGTTTGGCTCAGCAATGTTGTTTTCAGGCGTTATATCACTTAACATTCCTCTCATGCCATCTTTGGTTTTCGTCAAAACGTCAGTGGGCTTCTCGGCATCTAAATTAGAAAGAACAGGAAGATTTTAATGACGGGCATAAACAATATTATTAGCACAGGAGGTAAATATTTTGTGAATTTAAATAATCCCTATTACGCTGCGTCCATTAAAAGCTCCCCAATTCCCGACCTCTTATAGGCTATTTGTCAATTATACTATGTTATCTGTCGCACCCCTGGTCAATACCGCTTTCAGCACGCAATCCATAGGTCACTTACATTACCATCTCTTACAAAACCAGTTTAATGTTTACCCAACTTTATTAAAACTAGCTTACATGACGTCCCCCCCCCACCACACACACCAACAACCTATATTACGTTGCGTCCATAAAGCACCCGAAAGGCTCTATTACACTGTCATCCCTTACTATACCAGTTTATTCTTTATCCAAACTTTAATAAAACTAACCAACCCTATCACAATACTCCCTCGCCTCCCACAAGACCTACCTCGGCCCCACCCCACTCCTAAAACACACACCGAAATAAGCACTATTACACTGCGTCCATAGGTCTATTACATTGACATTTAATGGTCTTTTATTTAACCAGTTTATTATTTACCCATACTTACTAACCAACCTACCCCCATTCACCCCCCCCCCACCCGATATGCCCTATTTTCATTGCAATATTTTACTAAACCAGTGTATTTATTACCAAAACTTTAATAAAACTAACCAACACCCCCATCACAATGTCATCTCTTATTCTTTACCTAAACTTAAATAAAACTAATACCCTCCCTCCCCATTTTTTTTTTACTTAATCCCCTATACCCCGATCACTCTAAAGAATATAAGCTTGAGAACTCCTATAAATCACACCCACGTATGCAAATTTGACATAGTTCAGAAAAAAAGAATATATTTTATCAAGGCTGACTTCATTGACCTTGACTTCAAATGTCATAGTAAGCTAAAATTAAAAAAAATACCTTCTTCACTGCTTGATTCCTGATTTAATTCTGACACATTTGGTCTATATTCATCACCAGATGAGTCTTCGGCATCAGATTCTGTATCTGAATCAAGCACTGCAGCTACTGCCTGTGTAGAGTTCATAAAACCTTTTGTGTTCTTCAATGCAGCCATTTTTTAAGCCTTACAGGAAGTCGCCATTGCACATGCCCAGTGTTCACTTACGACCTTATCTTACTCACACATGCACTTAGGACCTTATCTTACTCACACATATGCACTTACGACCTTATTACAGGGAAGTTATGGTGAACTTCAACACTTACAACCTTTTCTTAATTACCCATAATGCACTTAAAAAACCTTCGATTGTGACCATTTTCTAGTGTAAGATAGATATAATATTATTAGTCATTTTTTTTAACAAAGAGTGATTTTTCAGATTTTGTCACTTACGAACTTATCTTACTCAAGGGACGAAATGCTTTATATGAATTATAACTATTTAAACCACAGAAACGGGAGTGATATTGACAACATGGGTATAAACACTAATGTCTTGATTTGTTGTCTGATGAGGGGGGGGGGAGCAAATGGTTAGCACGTGCGCGCTGTATCGTAAGGTCTGTTATTGAGTCAACTGGCGTGGTTTCGATTCCCTGGTTGTACGTGACAAGGAGTAGGGTCGCCTGTCGAACATCATGGGTTTTCCACCCACTGCTAAAGACCCCAACGTGCAAGCGAATTATTAAAATAAAATTGAACCATGTGTTAGGCCCGAATTGACCTGGTTTGTGTCGAGTGGACGTTAAACCCCCATCTCCCTCTTTCTCTCCGAAATGCAGTAGAATTGGAGAATTGAACAATAATAGGCCATTTTGATGACAATTTTGGAATTCAAGATGGTGGCCATCAGGGTGCGTCATTTTGGGGGTTCATTTAGTTCAAACAATATGTTATACGTTGGAAAAGGATTGAACATCAGGCAAAGTTCTTTGGGGGTTCTAGTGTAATGAGTATCCCAACATCTCTATCTGTATATAGTGCTATTACTTGATCAGATATGGTACCTATTATACGTTCTGGAAGGTATTTCTGAATCAGGGAAGCATTGAACGAGTAAAGAAAGACAAAATTCTTAAGTTAAATTAGAGGATTTAAAGGACAATATAGGTGTCAGTCATTATCACATATGTGACAGAAATGGTCCAACACGTTCCAAATATAATTTTATTACAGAGATCATGGCTATGATAGATGCGTAAAGCAGATTTCAAGAAACGAAAGTGACGAAAGCAAAAGGAAACCCCGAGTTATTCCTCTTTATAACTGACTGAAGTGACGAGTGATAACAGATACACGGGTGAATTTCTGCTCCGTTAATATACTGATGGTCCTTTATGCCGTTAGATTGTTTATGTTATCGCAAAAATCGATGAAAACTCAGTATATTTTAAAACTTTTGAAATCTGTCTCGTTGACACTCCAGCATTTTGTGACACTTTTCTGGTCCAGGATCTCTAGAAAACGCACTGTGACACAATCCTGTGTGTCGGTAGGACTTCCATGCTGTGTATAAAACTTTACTCAATTAACTCTGGAACATTTTGTTGGTATAACTGTTTATATAACTTTATACAGGAAACTACAACATTCTAATTTCCCTTAGCGTTTTCCTTCCAGTCTACATCTTGATACCTCCCGGTCTGCAAGCCGAGGCGGCTTGGTATGTCCCTCTAGGAACGCCGAGGAGGCCGTGAGTATGCCTTCTAAGAAGCCCCCATGACGTCTTAATCCAAGCATCTAAGCCGAGGATGCTGTGTGTATATACTTTTGAGAATACCATATGATGTCAGAATGAAAGTTAATCCGGCTCTTTTTAATTTAGGCGTTTGACTATTTGGGAGGGGCACCTTCTTAAGTCAACTATATTGTATATTATTGGACTAATGTTTGCACCAGATGGCTGGACAACAGTAACCCACTTCCAGAAATGGACAGTGACAGAACTGTCAGTGAGTTAGTCTGGGAAAGTCGGAGAATAATGCAAGGTACCTTTTTATCCAAGTTCTCGCTGCCACCCATTTGTTTAACTACTTCGGTATATTAACCATGGCACCTTTCATCTATAGAACTAAAATAACCCCGACAGATTATAAAGTATTACAATTCCTCAGACCAATAACTTGCCATGATTTCGCAGTAGCGAGATGCCGAGGCCCCACTGTGAAATACAGTGTTGGGGTAAAAACGTTTTTTTTTTAAAAAAAAAAAACATTTGGCTTTGCAAGAGAAACCAATTATTGGAATATCTTTCATTGCAATTCCAGCCGGCTTCTGTCGTTCAAAGAGTAACGATCAATATAATGCGTTTGACATTAAAACTAAATGTTGGACCAGAATGTATAATGGCGTGCACTCCCATTGCGTTGTGTTTTGCAGTTAAGGTGGCTTTTAATAATTTAGCTCATCACTATGAACTAAATTCTCTCAAATCATACTTTGCAACAGATATATTTGTAAAGCAATTTCACTTATTAAAAGAGATATTTATCTCGTCAGTATGAAGGTGGATCTCAACCATTTTCAATAATTTACAAATGTTCCCGCATATCATATTGGAACCACGGTGGTTAAGTGGGTAAGACGCTGGCTCACTAGCCTGGAGGTCGGGTGTTCAATCCCTGCATTGGCCGAGAAAATTTATCCAGATTTTCTGGCGTGGTTCCCAATTGTCGGAGGGCCTGACAAGGACAGCTGTCTAGTCGTTCAGATTGGACGCGAAAAACCGAGGTCCCGTTTACACATTGGAGTGCACTTAAAAGATTCCTTGGCAGTTGGAATTCGATATCAGAGTAGGCTGTAGCGCCGCTGTCCGGACGACATTTCCCTAATAGCACACTGTATGGCGTATGTCCGTCTTCATAGCCCAGTTCGGAGCAGAACAGTGGGACGTTAAACCCTATTTCATTTCATTTTCTTACCATATTTGTGTACTTTAAATGCCAAAATTAGCAGTAGATCAATTTGAAACCGGTGTTGGGTAATTTTGACTTTTGTTTTAGTCTGAACAAAATCTGTTATTGGCTGTATGTTTAGTTACTCAGAAAGCCATCGTCTGTTGCACTTTCATATTTTTAAGTTATATTTTTAAAATTTATTAAAATAAAGCCTTAAAATAAATGGTATCTTTAAACAGTCCTACCTTGTTAAAGAATAATCCTATTAATCCTATAATTCACTATTGCCAGTTGAGAAATTGGCAAAAATATCATTTTCATCTTCAAATTCCAACGTTTGAAGATAACTTCTCCATGGTGGAGAATAGAAAACTTGGGAGGTAATTGTGTTATTATTTCCGGTGTAAATGAGTTTTAAGTGTGAGAATGACACCTATATATGATCGTATAATAGTGAGTTGACAACCTATTGAGCAAAAGACATAGAAATAATTATGTTTTGACTTTCTTAGAAAATATGAAATTGTAACTTTAAATAATTTATATGACATTAACTCTAAACATCGGATCTAAATATCACATACCTCTATTGCAATATGTTGGCAAAATATAATATTCTGTTGCAAACTGAGGTTATTAATATTTATAAAAGTTCATGAATATTTTTATGGTGGAATGAATTCCGACATACACATTTGTATTATAGCTGCGATTACTAACGGAAGGATGTCCATTTGTCCAATATAAAAATCATGAAGGTGGGGTTCATTTCTCATCCGTGAAAATATAATTGTTTTATTTCACTATGTTCATATTGTAAGTAATTTTGGGTCAATCCACAGGTCCATGAGATAGACATAAAACTACTTGTGATAGGTATGTTTTGTTAAATAATAACCTATTTTGTGTTTATAAATACACGTAGTAATCTTTTGTACTTGTGACAAGGAAGTAATCTTGGTCATGGTGATAGGTATTTTTTGTGAACTAATAGATGTAGTAAACTTTAGTACGTCCAATCAGAAGCACTGATGGACGTACGGGGGATACACCCATTCTCCTCTAGTTTCCTTTCAATATTTTATTTCGTTTTGTTTCAGTATAATATATTTGTTTCATTTCTGAAGATTGTGTTTCGTTGTTTGGGGTTCGTTTCGCACGCCATGGGTACTTGATCGTCCATGTAAAACGCTATTTATTCCAGACGTATTTTATATTTTAGCTTCAGTTTTCTTGAAGAAAATCCCTGTCTGGGAAGTAAACATTTGTACCAAATCTTAAAACAGCAGCTAGCGCTTGGTCAGTTGGTAAAACAAATAACTTTCGATTGATGTGACTCAACTTAACATTAGATTGTAAGCAAAGTCTGTGACAACTTTATCCAGCCATCCCTGATATATTAACGCTGTTAATTGCAATATATTAGTACATATATTTTAAGGGGTTTGGGCTAAATACCCCACCCTTAACTAGCCGGGTGCTCGGATCTTAAGTTTAGACGGAGGGTCTAGGCTTATTTGAAATATAATATTATATCAAATTAATTCCATTTATTTTCTTGGTTACAGCGATAGCGCCCCTTGAAATCTACTTTATCTGAGAATATATCCTATTTATCTTAGTTTTTATTTTTAATTTAGTTAATATTGAATCGTTTCTCCTGGGAGGTGGGTTTTTGTCTTGGAGTGCCCAAAGTGGCTTGACAAGGAACATTTATTGCGCTATGTGCAACGGTTATCAACCGGGAGCGGATGTGGGGAATTTTGCCCGGACAGCAGCGCTACGGTCTACTCTTATATCAAATACCGACTGCCAAGGGTTCTTTGACGTGCACGCCAATGTGTACACAGGACCCCGGTTTTTCGTACCATCCGACTGGCTATATAGTCCGGTTGCCAAACCCCATATTTTGAGTGAACCTGGAATTTGTATACAGAGTATTTTTATGATTGATTTTAGTAGCCTCTGGTGTCCTTGAAACCTGTCCTCATTGACTGAATGAGACGTAGCCGCTGTTAGTCTGTTCAATTCCTGGCGTAGTGTTTGATTCAAGAGTATGCACTGTCGACTCCCTCTGGCAAACTGTACACCATATTATGTCCAGGATACTGTATGCTCAATTGAATTGGGGGCATGGCTTCTAATTGACCAAAGTAGTGTAGCAATGGCATCCATCCTGATGCAGAAGATCAACAACGACACTTGCATTGTGTGGTCTAGCGTTGTCGTCCATATATATTTGCCTGGGATAATGTCAAAGGAGGATACTACAACTCTGTCCAGGATTTTTATTTGGTACCGTTGGCCATTAAGAAATCATGTAACTGTTACCACTGGAGGCTTTCAGTCCAATGAAAGGCAACCTCACATCACGATAGAGGCCCGCCAAATGGAATCTACTCTGGGGTGTTCTTCTGTGCATATCCCATGTTCCTACGCCTCCATACCCGTGCTCTACCTTCGGTCATGAACACGGGAAAGCGACTCTGATCGACCAATGATTATTTCCTTATGACGCCATGTTCCAATGATGATGTGCAGCCCTGTGACAATAAGGATCACCCGAAGGGTCTCTTAATGCCAAATCCAGCCGATTACGAAGAGTTTTGTAGGATACTGATGGTGGCTAACCATTCCCTTTTCAAAACGGTCCTTGACGCAAAACTATGACGCACACCATTCTTAACAGTCCTGCATCTGCTCCTGAAGACATATTGCGAGGTCTACTATAACGTTGAAGGTACTTCATATCACTCGTCTGTTGATGTGGTATTTTCTCAATTATTGACTAATGGTTACCCAACTTTGTGCAGTTTGCCTCATTGACATATAAATAACTTGCAACCTTTTTGCTGTAGAGGGGTCGGGGTCTCATTATGAAATACAGACAGTGAACACGGCGATTATAAATCTTCCACAAATGATTTTCATGACGCAAGAGGTTCATGCTTTCCTTGCGCTGCGCTGTAGGTCTGTTACGTGCTGCACTGTTAGCTTTCACTGGTATTCATGGAGGACAGAATAGGTAAAATTTGTCATTTCATTTTTCGCATGTATGTATTTACGCAATACATGTCTTGAGCGAATAAACATTCAAATTTGGGGATATTTTTTCTGAGAATATTTGAGATTATCGCGCAGTTAAAGGCTTTAATTCACGATACAATGATAAATCATTGTAAGATTGACACGTAAAAGTGGCGACCCATAACTACCACAGACCCCACCAACGACCAAGTAGTTATCAGTCATACCGAAAAGACTTATACATTAAAGCTTACAGGAGAAGATTCATAATTGTTTTTAAATAAAGCAAGTAATTATGTCAACATATATACTAGAATAGGAGCGGAAGGACTAAAATGACGTCAGGTTTTTTTTATAGGCCGAAAGTTACTACTCGCGAAGAACGACGGAAATCGCTAACGTGGAAATTGACCTGTGGTAAGTAATATAGACATTCGGGATCGTGTTATACTCAGGGAAAGGATATGTTGACATTATTACTTGCATTATTTAAAACCAGCGGCAGGGTACGCCAACATTTTGCAAGACATGGATGATAGAGAACAAGCTAAAAACAAACGCGAATTTTTGTACAATCAGGGGCAATAATCCAGAAAGTTATAGCCAGAAATGTGCAAATGCCAAAAGGGACTGAGATCTTTGGGATACATGTGTAAAGATATGTTTTAAATTTCATCAAAATCGGATAAAAATTGTAACCTCTAGAGGGGCCCACAAACTTCGTATTACATACTTTTACACAATTTACGTACAAAGAACGGCCATTTTGTCTGGCAGTTTCATTTCGATTTTATCGAAATTTGAATTCAACCTTCATTATGATGGAATGATGATGTATTTAAACGGTTTTTAAAATCGGAAAAAAATTGTGACCTCTAGAGAATCTGGAGGGTAAAAATGCAATTTTTCGTACAATCAGGGGCCAGAATGCAATGCAGGAAGTTAATTTGGGTATCTGTGATTATCAAAAGGAACCAAGATCTTAGTGTGTAATAGTGATATATTCGCACGGTTTCTTTTTTT